GTCAAGTGTTTCAAGCATTTTTTTTAATACGAAATTTTGCAATGAAAGATCTATGCAGTGATGCAGAAATTCTTGAAAGGAATAAGATCCTAAATATTCTTTAAAAGCCCAAAAACCGAAAACAATTTTAAAGGAAGACATTTTTTTCGAGTTACATTTGTCTAGCCCTATCCCTGAAAAAAAAAATTTCCGTCTCAAGTTACGATTCCAAACATGGGCAAGGACAGAAATATGAAGCTTACATTTACCACAAATTTCGTGTTACAAGATGGACTTTTTGTGAGATGGTGAGCTCTGAACTGGAAGGGTCCGTTTGGGAGGGCGAATAAAGGGGTGTGTGGGAGGAGGGGGGAGAGGTTCAGCTGGAAAGAAAAAAAATCGAAAATATACGAAAAAGAATCTGATAATTTGTCAGACAGACCCTGGGGTCAGAAGAAGATTTTTTTACATCATTTCTAGTGGAAAAGGCGGGATTTTAAGAGAGATGGATTTAAACCCAACGCAGCAGCCAGCCCTATAGGCGATCTCAGGTCGGTGTTGTGATGTTGGTGAGCATTCTCTTTCCCTGCGAAGTGCTCATGTATGTTTTCACTTCTGATTACGGTAAAAGTAAAGTGTACCCCCCCCCCTCCCTTACTTCGAACAGCTTCACCTTATACGCAACTGCCGGGGTCGCCTCAGAGGTCACAGAGGGGTCGCAGCTATGTCTTACAGGTACAGGAAACAAGCTTATCAAGTGGACATTTTTTTTAGCTTCAAGGATGGCGTTGGATTCCCACATTGAAGGTGTACCGGTATTCAGTGGGGCTTAATCATTAAAAGATTGGGATTCTGATGACCTGCTTAAGAGGTAAAGAGATGAGCAGTGATCAAACGTAAGTAAACATTTTACAAGATAAGATCTGCCAAGTTATGTCTGTTGAAAGCACAAATAAACCCGCAATCTAAGATAATGCGTTCGCCGTTGAACCTACCCTAGGAGTGGCCCTGAATAGTGGTCCTGTTCTTCTCACAGCCTGGTCAGCCTCTTATTTCTTTAAGAGAACAAGTAGGCCTAATCGCTTTGATTAAACATATCCGTACGCTCTTGGGTCATTTTGTACCCCGGGGTTGTATTCTTCACATTTTAGAATACTTCTAGTACGAAGATCTCTTTGAAACTTTCCGTATTTCTCAAAAATTCATTTTGACAGACTGCTATGCAAAGCGTACGGATCGGATTAACGAGTAAATTTCCTCTTTGGAAAGTGGTGGCACAGAGTTCCCCACTTCGTATGGATACGATAGTAAAACACGACGTACGGATAGGGTTAAACGTCCCTCTATGTTATAGATACGTTATTCCAAACAATAAACTGTATACATCCATCTCACCGTCGTAAAGTTTTGTTGACCCGGATTGACAGACGAAAAGTTAGGAGGGGGGTGGGTGTTTGTTTTGATTTTAATGATGTAAAACAATAAGCAATATGTCCCTTCTGGGGATAAAGCTAGTCTTAAGCGGCACCAACCCTTCTTTAGTTCTTCTCGTCGTGCAATTTTTTTGCGGTAAGATAATTTCGGAATGTGGACTCAGGGAATGGGTTTGGGTTTTTCCGGGAACAAAATAAAATATAGTACATAATACGTATTTGCAATCGTTATGTTGTACAATGTATTTCGTCTGAGTATTCTATCTGACTTGTACGTTGGGTGAGCCTCTTCAGTTTAGTAAAACTTGAAAATGATTTTATTTGTGCTGGTTTGTTTGTTTTAATTTGTTTGTTTCCTTCATTTTGATTTTGTGTCTGATTTTCTTTACATCTTGGGGGAGGAGCTGAATTTCAAGGTGGGGG